ATTGTGTACATTTAATAACCTAAAAAATAATAGAGAATTCATGTGAATTTATAAGAACAAACTTGATAAGAGAAACTTACTATCTACGATAAAAATAATAAAGCATTAGACATAAATTAAATCCATAAAAAAAGTCAAAGTAACAAAAGATTTTATATTAAAATAATTATCAATAGTCTATAAAAGACCATATTTTTAGTATAGTAATTCTTTAATGGTACTTATTATATATTAGAGTTTATAAGAATATATATACAAAATATATTTAAGGCCTTCATATGCCAAAATTTTTCTTTGTAATCAATAATATTTATACTTTCATAAATGACTCATCTATCAATATCATGTTACTTTATATTTTTTTCATCCAAATTCAATATATCTACAAAACTATAAAAATAAAGCTATATCATGCAGACTCTAATATTTTTATTCAATGGATTAAAGCTTGTACGATAGAGTTATTTTTATCTGTTATTATTAATGGTGATATAAATGACCATATCCCAACATAGTTGGCTTGCATCAAGATTTATCTTTTTTTAATCTTCTTTTTTTTGTTATTATGGATGTTCTTTCTTTTATGTTGAATGCTCAAAATAATAATATTATTCAACCTGATTTTAAAAATATTTCTTATCTTATATATGCTGGTAATTTACTAATTTTTGGTAAGGCTTATCATATATGCATTGTATAACGAATACTTTACATACTTTGGCTGCTAATTTTCTTTTTTGTTTATTTTACTTTTCAAATATGTTCAGCCTTGTATGCAATAGTGCTTATGTGATAGTAGTGGACAAGCTTTTACCTTAGAATTATCTTTGTATCGCTATTAGGCTTCTAAAATTAATATTTTAAAATTTCATAATCTTATTCATATGCTTCATAATTTGTCGGTTGGTTAGAAGCAAAAAAGTCTTGTCTTATTTTGGTCGATTATATCTTATTAAATATACTATTTAGAGTTATCATTATTATTGATGTAGTTCCACCTCGTTGTTTAAATACTTTAGGAAAAATTCTTTTCTGTGATCAGTAATTGTTTTTTCATAATAACAATGAAAACAATATGAGTACTATAACTTGTAATGTTGTTATTTTTCCTTAGTTTATTAAGGGTTTATTCCCTCTTTAGATAATATTAATTTTATGTGTAAAACTAAAATTATTTGGAAACGTTGTTAACTCTAATTCATTTTTAACAAACTGGTGCTATGTCACTATGATTCTATCTGATTTAACGCTTATTCTAATGCTTTATATATTTTATGAATGATCTTACAATGGCAGCCATTAAAATTAGAAGATGTCTTTTATTTCAAGTGAATTGCATGAGAAATCTTCTTGTTTTTTATCTTTGGTTAAATGGTTCTTCATTGAATGAGAATTTTGGAAATTTAGATTTGATTGGATTCTTTTTCTCAAATTTATGAAGCATGGTGATGTTTTATCTAATTGTGGAGTTATTTTCTCAACATTGGGATTTTATTGATGATTGCCTCCATTTAATTAATAGTATCTTGGCTGTTGATAATAGTACTAGTTACTTTTGTAGAGGGATAGATTGCTATTCCAATAAAATTTTCATCAGTATATTTATAAGAATTTATCTTGCAGGAATTGGAATAGGCTTGTTTGGAACAAAAGCTATTATTTTAAGCTGGCTTTTCACACTTGAAGAATCAATCATGGGCCAAAATATTCGTAATGTTCTTAATACCAGGGACATAAATGATAAATCTTAGTTGATTTCTTTGTTTTAATCATTTAGAAGCAGATAATCTTCCTCTAATGCTCTTTTTCTCATAATCTTTTGATTGAATCCCTAATGGTGAGTTTTTTATTGATGTCAGTAATCAATCTCAAATTATTTAGCATGCTCATAACAATAACTATAAAGTTATTAAGAAGTTTTATCTTTTACTTGTTCAAGGTATTGCATCAAATTTGGTTTGAAATAAATTGAAGAATCTTCAAAATTTTGCACACCCCAATTGAGGTTATTATTAAAAATACTCATTAGATGGTTAAACAAAAAAAGGTGGAAATTAAGTAGTCTCTAATTATATTAGGGATTTTTATAATTTTTATGTTTTATTTTGATCTAGTCTCTTCGTTGCACCTCTCATGCTTATTGGGTCTTTCCTTGGTTGTTTTCTTGTTGTTAGATTTGTATGAATATTTGGTTATATTATTTTGTTGAGTTTGTTGAAAAAGCTAGAGTTTTTTTTTTAGTTTTTATGTCATCCAGACATTATTTTAGAAATCAAAAGTGTTTTTTGGGAATTCATCTTTGCATTCCAGATTTTATTATGGAATGGGTTGTTGTTATCATTTTTTATCAGCCTTCTTTTTTTTTTTGATGTACTTCTAGTAGTTGGATGGTATTCTTTTGTATTTATTTAGATTAAGATTCAACCTCTTTAGAAGTACTTATGGTTTCGCTATTATATCATTTTTTTTTTGTTATCTTTTGTGTGATGTTTCTTGGATGCTCTAGTTTTTCCTCAAATTTGGATGGAGTCCCTTTGTTTTGTTTGATGGGTTTACCCGATCTCTCTGAATTTTTATAAAATTTTGTTCTATGTTGTTTAGATCATTGGGAGATTTTCTGACAACTCCATATTTTTACTATAACTTCCTACTAGAAATGTGATAGTCATGTCTTTTGGATTCTGTGCTTGAAAGATTCATTTGGTGTTTTTCTATATATTCTCTGTTAATGTTGTTAATGGCTTTAAAGATCTTTCGCAAGTGTTGAGGTCCTTCTTCAACAAGTTTTCTATTGAAGGTGCATTGTTGGTCTTCTTAGTGACTATTTTGATTCTTTAGAGTTAAAAGACCTTTGATTTCATTGAGGATGCTAGCCTACTTACTTTTAGCTTTGATAGACTCTTATAATTCATGCAATCTTGTTTCTTTTAGAATAAAGTAGGGCAAGACTCTCAATTTTCCCAAGAAAATAATAAATAAATGTTTGTTATAGAATTTAAAAGCATAAAACCTAGGTGGTGTATGCAAATCTTTATATATATATATATATATATATATATGATATAGCTTTATGGAAAGAGAAGATATATGAGAGACTAGAATTTCAGAGATACTTACACACCACAATCTCGTCATTGTCTTTGATGCTTGCAAACCATAGAAATTCAGGGTTTTTTTTTTTGTTTTGGGCGAAATCGGAAGACACAAAACTATAAGTTGTCAAAGGAGAAGTGAGATTTGTGAGGACTTAAAGTTTATTTTAAGGGACATTTCTTACATACCACATGAGTCATATAAGTTCAAATCTAACTCCAAAACTTTATAAAATAAATATATAATTATCAATTAATCAAAAAGTATTATTAATATAATAAAATATTACTATTAAATCTATAATTAAATTATTTATTGTTAATTAAATTTATTAAAATATTATATCATATATGATACGAGTTATCATCGAGCTAAATATCGAGTATTTAATAATTTACTTAATCAACAACAAACGAGTTTGTTCATGAGCATAACTGAACAAGTTCCACTATGTTCATGTTTAGTACATTTAAACTTCGAGCTTTTAAAAATTATTTAACTTTGTTTATTTACTAATACGATCGAACATAATCGAGTCTTAATTGAACTGAGTTCGAGTTGTTCATGGAGTAGATTGGTTCGTTTACAACCCTAAATGCCGGTGACTTGATACATTCTAAACTCAGCCAATTCGGTCGAATTAAAAATACATCTTAAAAATCTAGAGGGATGGTTTGAATTTTATTAAAATTATACTTTACATTCCTCATACTTCAAAGTTGAAAGCAAATAATTGATACAGCAGCTAATGGAATGGCAAGGAAAATGATAAGGATTCGTAATTAATTGACTATTTGTCGTATAAATACAGAATAATTGAAAACTTAATGTGGCAAAAGGGTGCAAAAAGATGAGCCCCCCGCGTTTCTGAAAGACTAATTACCATTTTGCTTAAACTGATTGTCATTACGGGCGGATCCGGGCGTTCCCATTTTGAAGAAGGCCGCCCACTGATGGGTTGGCAAAACTGCTCGTTATTCACGAGCTGCTCGTGTTCGACTTGTTAAGAAGCTCGTGTTCGACTCGTTAATTTCGTTCGATAAGCTAACGAGCCGAACACAAACAAATATGTGTTCGTTAATGTTCGGCTTATTTTGGATCTAAATACTATTCATCAAGTTTATATGTATAAGTAGTATTTTAAAAAAATCTAATTGACTACAGGGCTACAAAGATTTATAATCAATTAACATATTGATTAAGAAAATAGAATAAAAATTTTTAAATTAGATTCAAATGATATTTTAATATAAATAATAATTTTTAAATCTTGCTCAAACCTTTTTTGTCTTATGGCTACATAATTAAGATTGTTAAAAGGACACTTTGTTCGTGAACAGCTCGTGTTCGGCTCCGTAGACAAACCACGAGCTGAGCCAGCTCGTGTTCGGCTCGTTTACACCCCTATGTGTCGTCCCATACCACATTAGGGCATCTAACTTTCAACACAGCACTAGTGAGTATCGCAATATGCAGCATTACAGACAGCCACAGGTCATTTGCGCATTAAATAGCAACCAACTGGCTCAAAATAAAATATTATATATATATATCAAGTTATACGAGCCATAGCCATCCCTCATGCGCCTTAAGAATTCGAGTATGTATGTGTGTGTGTGTGTGTGTGTGTGCGCGTGTGTGCGCGTGTGTGTGTGTGTGCGCGCGCGCGTGTGTGCGTGCTGCGGATCAAATATATTTTATAGCTGCAGCTATGTACTTAAATAAGTTACAAAATTTATAGAATGTTTAAATGCAATGTACATACAAAGAAATCAATTCGTGATGGAATAAGATAGCTAGTTGTAATATGAAAATAGAGTTCAAAAAAAATTCTTCAAGCGTCCCAATTACTTTTACCCACCCAGGCACCACATCTTAGCCACAGGATTCATTTTGGAAGGCTGGGATTTAATCCAGCAAATTTATTCATAAAAACCAATTTTGCTGTGTCGAATTCAACCAATTTAAAATGAACTCCACTGATGGGATTTGGAGTAATCAAACCCATTGACAATGGAACATATACTACAATAACAAAGCTCCAGATATCGGAAGCAAGGAACTTCCACTTGGTGAGCAGACTGGATGTCCTGAAAACTCACGGAGCACGGAGCTGTTATTCACTGCTTAGATATGAATATGAAAATTCAAATGGTGTATTATCCGAGAATTCAATGTCTTCCATTGAATACAAGGTTGTGGCAGGTTTGATCACAAGGATATGGACAGTCAATGATCTTCACTTGAGACCGATCAAAGTACCAATCACCAACAGATTCTGCAATTCTCTGCACGACATTAGTTAATTTGTTATCAGTGGAACCTGTAGGGATTATAGCCTGAAATATTTGGGCATTCTTGTATTTATAGCTTCAACATGAGGGAAAAGTAGGTTCCCTAAATAGGAGTCAGGCTGAAGATGAGTTCATATCTAAACTATGAATGATCTTCATATATAGCAGCGATGAAAAGAATAGAAAATGACCAATGCCTTCAAATCACCTCAATAAGGGGCAGCATCATAAGACATAAGATGTACTTCTAAAAGAGCTCAGCATAAAATCAATTTTATTATGATGTTTTGAAAAATAATTTAAAAGCATAATACTAAGTTAAGTGTTGTTGAGATGAGAAAGATTAGGTGGATGAGTGGCTTTACACTTAGAGACAAAATGCGAAATGAATATATCTGTGATAGGGTTGGTGTAGCTCCTGTGACGGACAAAATTACAGAAAGTCGTCTTAGATGGTTTGGTCACATTAAGCCTCGACCATCTGACGATCCGATTAGGAGAGTAGGTGTTTTAGATTTGACTTATGTTAAGAAAGGCAGAGGTAGACCCAGGAAGACATGGGCTTATTTATAAAAAATGATCTTAAGTTATTAGAACTACATGAAAATATGACACTAAATAGGGCACAATGGAGAAAAAGGATTCATGTAGCTGACCACACATAGTGGGATTAAGGCTTTGTTGTTGTTGTTGTTGTTGTTGTTGTTTTGAAAGATAATTTTTATCACCATCCCTTTTTATGGAGGCTGGCTAAATGGAGATTAAAGTTGTGCCCGAAACATGAATGGTCCAACACGATCAACGCGAAGGCATGTGTTTGAGTAAGATTCCATCGCTAAGATTTTCACCCCTTCAATTATTTATATGAACTAAATAGCACACCACTACCGTTATGACAGATTTCCTTAAAATAAATTACTAATTCTAAATAGAAGGTTTCCATCAATATAAAGTATCATGCACTAGATGTCCCATTCAATCACAAGGCGTGCGCAATTGCTCTCGAGCCTTCCTTAACCATGATTGAAAGAATTAAGACTCACAGCCACCAATAACTACATGAGCCTATCTTAATTGAATCACCAACTTCAATATGACCTGTTAGGTATAGGGGCAAAGGCACCAAAATGGGGAAAAATCTTCTGTCCGGACTCCGGATTACCTCTACTTGTAGACTCCCAATAATATACCGTCATGTGTGTTATATCGGGCCCACCTAAAAAATATTAAAGTGGAATCGTGGACTTCGTAATAACCCTGAAATAACCTCCGTGGTTCCAGTTCAAAAATCCTGAAGTAACCTCCCCGAAATAACACCGTAGAGATTATTTCGGGTTTATTTCTGAGTTATTTTGGAGTTATTAAAGAGAAACTCATATATTCTACTTCAATAACCCTGTGTTATTTCGGGGTTGTTGAAGTGGAACTGCGGAGGTTGTTTCAAGATTATTTCGGGGTTATTGAGATTATTTCGAAGTTATTGAATTGGAATATATGAATTTTTCTTCAATAACCCCGAAATAATCTCGAAACAACCTCCGCAGTTCCACTTCAACAAGCCCGAACTAACCATCGCGATGTAGCACACGTGACGGCATATTATTGGAGTCCGCGCATAAAGCTACGCCCGGGTTTTGATAGAAAATTTTTCCCCAAAATGGAGCATCATAAACTAGTAGTCAAATGATGTTTTCAACCCATTCATTGTGAAGCTAAATCCAATACTCGGACATACCTTAACACCATATGATATCAAAAGTGCAACTAAAACTGAAACATCATTATCTCTAACTTCAGGAAAATAAAAGGCAATCAGAGGACATGAAGCTGATCTTTATGAAGCAGTTACATGATATAAATGCAGCCGTTAAGTAATTTCCACCACAAAGAATTGGCACAGCTAGAAACAGCATAAAAGGAATGCCACCCTTATTAAACATTTTTTTCATGTATGAATAATGTTCTCTTTAATTTTTCTAAGCCATCTTAGTTGATTGAAACTCAAATTAGTATCATCCTTGATTACTCAGGATGACATTCAAATTGTAATATAAATAGTGAAGGAGAACAAGATACCATGCTAGATTAATTGAAAAAATTCCATCACAAATACTTATGTGATACTTGCAAAAAACTTTTGAACAACTACAAGGCATATCCTTGTGCTACAAAACATAGGATATTCTCTCCTGCTTACAATGTATTTAATTTAAATATATATTTAAACTTCTCTATATACCAATTACCTGTGTTTCATATTCGAACTAAGTCTTGAATCAAAGTATGAATAAAACACCATCAAATAATTGTCATTTAATCAAACAAAATAACCTAAATGAGGTATCAATGTATATGATAATATAACGCGAGAAACTTGTGACTTCTCTCGTGTTTAATTCACTCAAATGGCATTGGAAAAAAAAAAAGAATGACATTTGAGAGTGATAACAAAAGTGAGGAGGGTTAAGGAACCACACAAGTCAGAAAAATTAAGCAAGTTTGAAACAGAGGCTGTTTTGTTATGGATATATCGTATCTTGCCAAATAACAAAAGCACTCCAAATTTACTCGATGAAAACGTGAAAACAAAAAAAAGAATAACGAAATTTTGGTTATGATGAAAATAATTGATGTATATGAGATTTTTCTTTATTGAGAATGCATGTGAAGAAATCATTAAAAAAGATTCTCATTAACTAGCAAGTTTCTTGAGCATAAAAAAGGTCACATCTTGGTAAAGTTATTGGCCCTAATCAAATTAAACAAGTAATTTGTTGGATCATGTAGTTGGGCAACATAGGAATGTGAACTAGAATAAAAATAAAAATAACAATAAGATTCCATAATTAGCTTTACTCACAGATTTTGGCACTAAAATAAAATTCGAAAGTATCGATCAATTAAGCATTTAATTGACCGAGTTTGCTTGATGATTAGTGGGGTAATTATCTAGGCTAAAATATTTAATCGCGTGAAATCAAACACATATTTCCCAATTAATCAAAAAGTTTTCTTAGTTTTTTGCTAAGTTAAAATAACTTTTGTGAATCAAAATAAAAAATAGACTTTTCATCATAAGAGCAACAACGCTCCACAATCCTTGATGATGACTCTAGTTACTAGTTGGGACTAGCTCTCATTCCTCTCCAACAATCTTCAGGGATATTTGACTTTCTAGGGTTGATTTTGAGAGCTTCATTGTTAAATTCTCTAGGGAATTGTATGCGTTCATGAAGTGTTTATTTGAGGCATAGTTTTCTTAGTGTTCATTGTTAAATTCTCCTTAATCCATTGTGTTTTCTTACTTGTTTTAACAGCCATTTTGAAAATGGGTTGAGAATTCTTTTGCATATTCCGCTAGCACTCGTACCCACTAAAACCTAGGTATGTTTTGAAATGATTCCATCAACAACAATTAAATATCGAGCTAGCCTAGCCATAAAGAGTAATTCTAGTTGTCGAGTATATAAAAATGTAGGGTTTGTATGAAGGTTTCTCCATGTACAATAGCAAAGGGAAAGTGGGTTTCCCAAAAGGCATGCTTCAAATGTGTATGTAGAAAGCTCGTGTCAAACGACATTAATATTGATTTATATTTATCTAACATTTATTCTTTTTATATAGTTGGGCCTTACATTTGCATTTATAGTGGGGATAATTTATTTATATTTAAGTGACAAGGAACATTGAATTTCACTTCTTAATGAGAGTCAACTAAGTCTGTTTGAACGGGATATAATTGAGTTACCAATCTTGAAACTCATCTTCAAAATAATGAGAATTGAGTTCCAATATTAAAGACTAAGAAGTCACCTTAAATTTATCTTTTTTGGCTTTTAAAAACATAATAATAATAATAATAAATTAGGATGAGTGAAAAGATAACTTTTACTTAAAATTAAAATTATAACAATATAATAAAAATTAATATGAAAGATGATAAAGAAGAATCACACTACAACCTAAATAAACACAAGAATAGTGTTCTCGCCATAGAAAAAGAAAAGAAAAAGTTTGAGGAAGAAGAAGGTAGAAGATCCGTTTATGTTTGAGATTGAGGAGAAAATTAAAGACCGTCCAATATTTTCAAGGTCGGATGTACACTAAATTATTTATTTTTTTCACTTGCAAAAAAAAAAAGATGTAATGCTTGATGAATGAAGTGTGTGAACGTCAAATCATGTACTTTATATTAATTTGCAAGGGTTTTCTATCTGTGCAGATGAGATTATGGTATTTTTCTTGTTAGTGCATGTTGTATGGTGATAACCTTAAAATCTCTCTCTAATTTTATGTACATAACTGCAAATAAGATTTTGCTGCATGATTTGAAATGGGATGACTCCTTTAAGATGTTAAGCCATGTTTTAGCAGATTGTAATGTTGGAGCATTTAGGATGAATCAAATGGCATTAGTATATTACATGAAATCTTTATGAATGGATACCACATAACTGATTTTACATGAACTTGTAACAAAATGAAATGATGTCTTTGAGATGCAAACAATCTATTTTGCTATGTTAGTTTGTATAAAAAGTATGACAATAAACTGATCCACAGGTTGATATATGAACTACGATTCCTTGCAATAGGGTAAGTTGACAAACTTACCTTGTATTTGAGACCTTACCTCACATTTGAGATCATCGAAAGACAATGTCATTCTACCCGGAGTAAAGAGGTTATGATACCAAGCACATTAGTTTGGGTAAATTGTGTGGTCGATAAGCATGATTGACATAACTGATATAGAAGCCATGTAATTGGCATTTTTCTCTCTTGGAAAATTTGGCAAGGTTAGGATGATGATTTGGAGTATAGTTTGTGCTCCTATAGTTGACGCCAAGAATCTTACAATATGACCATACATCTTTTCTAGTTTTAACACTGAATGAAATGAATTAGGGTGATGAGGAATAATATGAATATTTATGTTATGTGCTAATATTTTTATGAGAGGATAAATGATTAAAATTGTGTATTTCATCAGGGATTCTGCACATCTATTGGTACTATAGGATTATAAGTTGTTATTCATAACTTATACCTCTATAAAAACTATTAATTACAATATAATGAAAAAGATATTATAAAACTTGCACATATTTATTCCCTTGAAAATCTAAGAAAAACATTTTCCCCCGGTAAGGGCCAACATATTGTCGCATTAATCGCAATGATGGACCTCCAGCTTTGCAGCTCATAGATTGTCAAGCCTCTAAGACTGCATATACTCCTCCAGCTGTAAAGTAAATAATATTTATGCCTAATTTTGAGAAGATATTCAAAAATATACTACTTGGTAATCCTTTGCTTAGTATGTCAGCCAACTAATTGTGTTTGAGCATATGAAATACATATCAATCCATTTTCTAATTATTCTTTGAAAAAGTGCGATTTAATGTTATACGTTTGATTAAATCATGTCAGATTGGACTTCTTGTGCAAACCACTTTCTAAATTTTCTTTGTTAAAATGCTGATCAACTTCCATGTGTTTGCTTTAATTATGTAGGATTGGATTACATGTGATAATAGTGGCCAATTTTTTTTCATTTTATTCTTAAGTCATACAAGATAATTTAAACCCATAATAGTTCATAGATCAATTGGCTATTGTCCAAAATTGAACTTTAATATTAGATCTAACGACTGATTGTTTCTCGCTTCTCCAATTGATTAGATTCTCAACTTTGAAAATGCAATAACCACTAGTAAACATCTTATCCATGACGAATCCTACCCAATCAGCATATGTGTACTTCAAAGTCCATCTTCTTTTTTTAATAAGATCTTTTCCCATTCTTTCTTTAAGGTATTAAATAGTTTTCTATGACATAATAATGCATTTTATTTTAAATTAGCTTAGACCACTTACAGCATAGGTAATGTCTGAAAATAAATAAGCTTTCCAATCAACCTTTAATACGAACCCTTGTCAACTTCTGGGCCATCCCCTACCTCTCTAAGTTTGTGAAAACAGTTAATCAGACAGTTAATCAGAAATTCAATCATTCTTGTTTCATTTAGTGGAGCTATGATGTATTTTTATTGAGAGATAAATATCACAACCTTTCAGTGGGTCACTTCAATTCCAAGAATATTTAAACCTTCTCTGTTCTTTGTATTTAATTTCTTTATTGACTTTTCTTCTTTTTTTTTTTTTTTTTTTTTTTTGAAACCGTCTCCCGTTATAATTATGACATCCACATTAGAAAAAAAATTTTGCGTTTATTAGACATTCTATGAATAGAGTGTAATCTCCTTGTTTAAAATTCATCCATTCTATGAATTCAGTGAACTTCTCAAACCATTTACTTGAAGATTGTTTCACAGTTCAAATAAATCTTTTTTTGGCTTACATCCATGGTTAGTAATGAAATCATTATTAAAACAAACGAAAAATCCATATAGGCTTCTTCTTTTGAATTACCACATGGAAATGCATATTTTACATCCAACGATTGTAAGGAACAATTAAGGTTGCCTACTAGGGACAACAATATTTGGATGGTATTTAGCTTTGCTATTAGTACGAAGGTTTTTCCAAAATAAACCTTATAGGTTATGGCTATTGCTATGTTTTGTAAGTTTAGCTTTATGAGTTTCGGGTGTTACACTTACATGCTATTTGATAATATATACTTCTATCTAATGAAAAGGCAAATGTCAAATCTTCACTAGTCAACCAAGTGTATTCAAAAAGAGCCATTCATGAGGTTTGATGCAAGTTTCTCCTAGTCATCCTATTCATCAAAGTGCCTTCAAAAGAAGTCATCCATGAGGTCGTGTCCAACTTACTACAAGTCTCCCCTATTCATCCAAGTAATCAAAATCCTTGTATGCAATTTTTGTATTTTGTGATTGCATAACGTTCAGGTCAACTGTGAATCAAAATAATTTCTTGAGTAATGCTTTTAATTCACAACTTCAGCATATTTACAGAACTTCAGCATTTTTATCATGTTTTCATACATCTACTAAAAGAACACAAAAAATCATGTGCAATTACAAATGCAACATAAGAAAATGTAACAGAGGGAGCATCAATTAGATCAATTGATCTTTTTGGACTATGACAATAAACAATTTCACACGGTTATTTCTTTGTGATTTTTAATATAATACAATTGCAGGTAGATTCAGATGATGGTAAGCATAGATCCCAAGCACACATGTTTTTGCTAAATTAACTAAAGTTTTATTAATGATTCATTTTGGCGCAATCAAGCACTCCAAAGAGAAAAAACTATAAGCTGCATGAAACCAAAGGACCCACTTGAATAGAATTAGAACTAGAGCATTGGAAACGCACTTTACAGAATACACCTTAGGAATAGCCGAAAGAATATAATATAGCAGGCCCGTAGGAGATTATAGAAAGATTTTTTTTGAAATCAATAAAATAACGAATTAAGTTTTTGCTTAGTTTTTAAACTTTTAGCGCCTAAAACTAGAGCTTTTCCTCTTTATTTTAGAAGTTTGTCTTTTGATGATTGCATTTATTTATGTTAGCTATTTTACATAAATCCTCATTTTGCTTGGCGGGCAGTTGACAAAAAAAAAAAAAACCAAGCACGTGCCTTTGGTACAAATTTCATTAAAAGTCCAAAAATTTCAGTTTCAAATGGAAAGTAGATGCACAAAAAACTGATCCTGGTATGAATAGGGACCAGTAACTTCAACGTGAATGAAAAAATTCAATATAACCATACCTTGTTCCTAATAAATGGGGAATCGTTTCCAAACCAGGTATCCTGCCTCTCACTTTGGCAATGAGCGAAACATGAATTAATAAATAATCCATTTTTGCTTGATGACGAGAACTTCTCTACAGAATTAAGCATTTCATTCCTGAAGCCTAAAATAGAGGAAAAGTTCAACTGCAACATTGAGTAAAGTGAACGTTAAGTATTGAGTGTCATGAACTTAAATAGAGATAAAAAAACGGATACCTTGTAAAAACTGGATTTGTCCTGTGTTGCATTTTGCATTATTCATGTTACAATCTTGCCAATAACCATGAGGATCAGCCGCTTTGGAAGCCAGACTCTCCTGAAGCTGAAACCAAAGGTAAAAGAAAAAAAGCAGACAAAGGCAGCATTTCAAGCTTTCATCATTCTAGTGGTTATTCAGGTTATCATTTTCTCAAATACTAGGAACTCCGCAACTTAAAATTAAAATGAAAAAATTCAGTATTTTTTTTCACAATACCAACAATAACAACAACAACAAAGCCTTAATCCTACTACATGGGGTCGGCTACATGTATCCTTTTTTCTCCATGCATCCTATTTTATTCACAATACCAAGGGACTAAAAATAAATAAAAGGAATATTTGCATGCATGTCACTTAATTCCTATGTATTTAAATATATAACACCTAAACTTCAATTTTTACATATATGGCACCCTGCATATACATGAAAAGAAGTGTTTCAATTGTTAAACGTAAACATTGGTATTTTTGATATGGTATGAAAGATTTGGATGGTATAAATGTAAATGCCCCCATAAATGCAGCACAGTACTTCTACTTGGGTGGTGATGTACCTGCCATACATCATATGCTGAATTCAGAATAAAAAGTGGGGTCCGAACATCGGACAGGGCATTCTGAGGAAAGAAACACTGCAAAGAAAAATGATAATATCAATGACTGGTCTTACCATTTCTAATGAACTTAGTTCTTGGAGATGCAAAATTACCAAAGTAGGATTCAGGTGCGAAGTACAGGTTCCAGGTAAGTTCCTTGACACCCCCTGTTTACCCAATCAATTATTTGTCAAGCAGAATTCGAAGAGAAAAACAAATAAAACAGGCAATATGTAGAAGAAGCCATATCTGCAGCCAAATTTCTTATTACTCCATTCATCAAATAAACATATTAAAGCGTAAAATCAAGGAGTCTCAAAGCAAGCTAAGGCTTGCAAATTGCCATAGGTACCTGTAAATTAACTATTCCACTAAAAAAGGATCTCAGGGTGCGTCGACCAGCCACATCAACACTGTCGTGCCAGAATATATTAATTGTCTATTAAGACTACAACAGCACTGAAGCATAACAAATCTAGGCGACAAATTATTAAGGTAAAATAGGCAAACAAATGGAAATTAGCATGCTTTCACCAAGGAATACATACGCATCAAGGAACATTCCAGCATCAGCAAGACACTTGATTTTTGTACTTCCTGGAAACAATGCGTGAAATTCATCACAATGGTGTATAGCTGCTATACCACCCGCAGAGCATCCAATAAGAAATGCCTATAAGCACATATGAATTGTATAACGGTAAAAACGGAGATAATGAAAAAAAATGCATTACAGAAGCAATAAAATTAACCTGATTAGCCTCACGCATTCCCTTTGACATCAATTCTTCCATAGCAGTTAACCATATGCGTTGACCACGGAAGTAGAGGCCTGCAGCCTAAAAAGATGCCAGCCAATTTTGAGTAGTAGAGCCATATTTTAATGACATGAGCAAAAAACAAATGCATCCGTTAAACACAACCAGTGGTATGGAATATAAAACTCTTAAGTGAAACATGAGTTAACTGATGAAAAAGTACTCGTATAGGGACAGAACTAGGCATAGCAATGTCTGAACAAAAACTGCTGCAGCGTGATGAAACAAAAATAAAAAGCATTGAACTCAGGTTACAAGGTAATCAAGGCAAATTGCTAAGCTTGAGAATTTGGCACTTAATCGATATACCCTCATTAAGACATCAAGATTTCTGACATTCAATTAAAATAAGCATAAAAATTGATATACCCTCATTAAGACATCAAGATTTCTGACATTCAATTAAAATAAGCATAAGAAAAAATTGTAGCACTATTATGGCACATTTGCAACGGCTTTGTTGCGCTTATGTACTGTTGACTACTAAGAGAAGTTAGAAATCTTGCATATCATTTTAAATTAAATATAATGGACAACAATTGTAGCATTTTGTTACAATAGTGAGATAGAAAGTTTGATTTTAGAATTAGATATAAATATATCAATACCAGATGACAGCTTAATAGAAGTTATAATTATCAAGTTACAATGGAACTAATTCAGAAGTTAATATAGTTTAAGTTTTCTTTAATCAAAAATCTATTAATAAGCCCATAAATTAGATCGCTGCTGCAAAGCTGTTGATCCATGCATGACAGTTATTCTTTCAAGGAGTCAAATGTAGAGTTCTTGAAGCCTAGATAAAATCACTCGGGTGAAAAAATATAATAAATAATAAATAATAAATAATAAGAATGACGAGTTATATGTCTAGGGCCATTTTAATGTAAATTAAACGAAAATCGATGTGCAATTAACAAGTAAAACGCCATATTTAAGCATAGGTCACAGGGAGATCTTTTACATAATCAAAAGAGGAGATGATTTTAAAATGCTGCACCATTAATTATCTTGGTTCTTTTGCAAGTAATAAAGAGCATTCTCGTATCAATATTATTCCATATTCAAAGATCCTCCTCATTTGTTTAGGTTAAACTCTTTTTATATCTAGATATTAATAAATTAATCCATCAAAAACATAAAGATAACAAATTATATCATATAAGAAAACAGTCAATAAAAAATTGATTTCTAGTTGGTAAATCTTCGCATTCTGACGTGCACCAGCATACTAAAAATTTGGGCCATCCCTACTACAACATAGAAAAGTTCGGATGAGCAAAAATACTATACAATGAATACAAACCATATTGTAGCCTTCACCAAGGAAAGATGCACCATCGCAGTAGCGAATCTTTACTCTGTTCCAGTTATAAAAATCTGCATATGTTATGTTTATGACCATTATGCACAAAATCCAAGAGAAAAGTTCCATTTAAATTCTGTAATAAAAAAAGGAAAGAATCATTAAACACAGAAAATATATAGTTTGAGGTTAACATCGACCCGGATTATCTTCAGGTTTATCACTCAAAATTCCTGTGAACTGTAGCTGTTTCTCCATGTAATTTGATGAACCCCGCCGGGTTTTTTTACGGTAAAAACACGTCCTAATGTTATTGCACCAGCCTCCTCCCTGTGGTGTTTAGTTAAGACAAAATGCCAATTGAGATTTATAGTCTGAGGAATATTCAAATGAAAGATGGCAATTTTTTTATGTGATAAAGCCATAAAAATGCATCGGAGAAAAACATCAAATTACAATGAGAAAGTTGTAATTAAATCCAATATTTGTGATTATTCACTTTATTCTTCTAACCTCTAATTGAACAAGCCAACTATTAGCTCCATTTCCAAATCCTTGGTGAAAGTGGTAACCCGGCAAGCTCCCATCCAAACACACTGAACCAATCAAATTACGTAGTTAACAAAAAGATAATAGATATTCCTTAAGTCTTAGAAAGAGTAAATGTAAACATCATAACTTTTAACATCCAAGAATTGTGAGGTTAGATGGAGAACATGTTTTAACAGAAAAAATGAACTATTAGATTTTTAGGAAGATTTTATTTTTGTATATTCTATTATTATGTTTTTCTATTTCTAGAATGTAATATTATTGGTATGTCATAATTCTTGTTTCCTTCTTTTATCATTGAGAGTTACGGATGATTTTATTATTTTCCAAATGTTGGAGCCACCCCACCATATTTTTCTTGTAATCATTTTTTATGAAATTGCAGATGAATAATTATTTCCTCTTCCAAAACCTACATTGTATCGGAGCAATGATTCGCTTTTGAAATTGTGTTTTAAACCCTTTAAAAGTGCATCTACAAGCGATTGTTATACACTATGTTAGGGCTCAAACGTTCGTTTGAGAGTTCCAACTATAATTTCTACTGAGTCATTCACGACTTTTCTTTGGCAACACCTGGAAACTTCAACTCAAACGTCGATCTCCGAGTTTAGTCTGCAAGTCCTATTCCACCTCATGCGATTTTTCTTCGTTCTGTACGGTTGTTACTGGAACAAAACTCCTCACCCCTTGCTCTAACATCGATTGCAAGTTGAGTTTGTACAAGAATCAGAGCATCTTTCTTTATCCACTACACATGTGCTAGTTGTCTTAAATTCTAAGGAAGTCGTATAAGTCAGCATGGTTGTCTGGAATCCAAAAAAATCCTACCACATCGAACGACTCCAATAATTCAGAAACCAAATCACCTCACCCTATAGCTCCTCTCATGGTTGTATTGGCAGATTAATATTCCCATAACTCACATCTTTATCTCACATTTATAAAACTTAACAGGTACAACTACCTAGAATGAGCTTAATCCATAAAGACGGTGATCAACGTGAAATGAAAACTTGGGTGTTTAACTAGAGAAAATTCAAAACCTATTGTTAACGATCATAATCTGAAAAAATGGCGGTCCAAAATTTCTCTGGATATGACTTAGATCATCAACTCCATGGAACTTATATTGGAAAGCCACATCCTATGTAGCGTTGACAATTCTAAAAAAGCAGTGTACCCACATCAGGCACATATAGGACGCTGACACTTATCCAACACTTTTTTCACACTAAAATTTAATTTTTTTCGGGCCCAAACACGTCTGAGATACACCTCAACACTTCATTGAACATGAGCTTAACACAATTTCAGAAAATACGACACAAGAAATAAAAAATTATAGATATAAGCAGCCTTAATTATACCTCATAGTCGAAATAGTCTCCTCTCTCATGTTAATGCTCCCTCTAACATTCGTTAAAATCAAGTATTGAAGGTGCATACAATATTTGTCGAAGTCAAACATTAGTAATTCCTTCAGTGCAATCATAAGATTTTTTAACATTTTAGTAGATAAGTTTGTATGAATTATTTTGAAATATATTAGATATCTAATTTTGATAATTAATTTTTATAAGCAAGAGATTTTATAATGTAAGTTAATTTAGAAAGTTAAATTTTATTGTTCCATAATTTATTTTTGTAATATTTTTAATAAATAATAATAATAAATTATATATTTTATATTAATAATTAATTAAACATGAAAATGTGTCCATGACATGTCATGTCTTATTTTTTTCAATATTGTGTCTTTGTATCTTGGCATGTCATGTTTGTGTCCCTGTGTTCGTGTTGTGATTCATAGATTCATTAAAATCGAACATTGAAGATGCATCCAATAGTTGCGAAGCCAAGCAATAGTTATTTTTCTCATTGTAACCGTAAAATTTTATAAAATTTTAGTAGATAAGTTATGATGAATTCTTTTGAAACATATTATATATCTAATTTTGAAAATTAATTTTTATAAGAGATTTTATAGTACAAGTTAAATGTATGAAATTAAATTTTATTCTTACATAACTTATTTTATAATGTCTTTAATAAAGAATAATAAAAAATTATATATTTTATCTTAATAATTAATTAAACATAAAAGCATGGCCATGACGTGTCGTGTCTTATATCATTCAATTATGTTGTGTCCCCATAGCATGACATGTCATGGTTGTGTCCGTGTTATGGGTCACATCTATTTCATCCCACAGCTCGAGATATCAGAGGGGTTGCTCTAGACCTTTATTCAAACTTGAAGAATTCATCCCAATTTTTTTATAGAAAACTCTACATTGAAAATCAAAATAAAGTGACTGTGATGACTAAGTATTATAACAAGTTTGAATCATTATGGTAGGAACTTGATCAATGTCATGATGACATTCGAGAGAATTTGAATGATTACGCTCGCCATAGATAGAGAAAAAAATGACCAAGTCTATATGTTCCTAGCCCACCATAGTTGAAGTTTAAATAAAGTCTGAGGTCACATCATTAGTAGGAAACCCCTAAACTCTACTAAAGAAGATTTTTCTAAAGCTATACGGGAAAAGTCAAGAAAAAGTTATATTGTGCAAGACCGAATCTTCTTGTGGCATCGAACAGAAGAACTCAACTCTTATGTCAAAAGGGTTGACACTGACAAAGAAGGCATAAGAAAACATGGTGCCAGTAATGCAAAAAATCATGGCACACTAAGAAGATATATTGGAAACTTCATGATAAACCTACAAACTAGAACTTAAAATCCAAGTATGAAGGTCGAGCTTATCAAGCGACTGCTGAAGAAATTTAATAGACTCCTAACTTGAATGCAGTCCCTTTCACGAATGAGCAATTAAATCACTTGCACATATTGTTTCAATCTCCAAAATTGTTCTCGACTCTATCTTAGTCTTTAATAGAAAAGGGTAATTGTTTAACCAGTGCTTTTTTAGGTTTTATTCTTAATTTTTATTCTTGGATAATTTATTACGGTGCAACTGATCTCATGGCTGATTTTTCTAAATTATTTTCCTCCAATAGATCTTGCGCAGGCAAAAAAAAGGTCAAAATTGTTGATGGTTCACTCTTGATAATTGTCGGGATAGAAACTGTTAAACTCTCATCGTTGTTTTTAACCTTTCTCAATGTTCTCCATGTTCCTAATCTATCATGCAACTTCTTGTCCACAAAACCAACAACAGAAACAAGCCTTTATCCCATTAAATAGGGTAGGCTACATGAATCTTTTTCTCCATTAAGCCCTATTGAGTATCATATTTTCACTTAATTCTAATAAATTAGAATAATTTTTTATATAATATGCTCAAGTCTATTTAGGTCTACCCTTAGCTTTTCTAACGTAAGTCAAATCTAAAATATCTACTCTCCTAACTGAATCATCAAATGGTTGGCGTTGATTGTGACCAAACCATCTAAGACAACCTCTCTAATCTTACCTACCATTAGAACTACACCAACCCTTTCATGGATACATTTGTTTCGCCTTTTGTCTCTAAGTTTCAAGCCACTAATCCACCTAAGCATTCTCATCTCAGCAACACTTAGCATAGTTTCATGTTTCTCTTTTAAAGGCCAACATTATACACCATAAAGCATTGCAGATCTCACCCCCATCTTAGAAAATTTTCCTTCAGGCCTAAGCAATACATTTCTATCACACAGTAGGACCGACGCATTCCTCCACTGCAACCAACCAACTTGAATTCTACTAATAACCTTCCCATCCATATCACCATCACTTCGAATAATAGACCCAAAATATCTAAAGTATTCATAACTTTTAATGATTTGATCACCCATTGTTACAACTCTATCACTAGATCTACTACTACTAAAATTACATTTCATGTATTAAGTTTTAATTCTACTCAAATGAGGGTCTTTAGACACTAATGTAGACCTCCATAATTTAAATTTTTCCTAGACTCTTTCTCTAGTTTTATCCACTTGAAGGATATCATCAATGAAAAGTATACACCAAGGTACATCCTACTATAAATGTCCAATAAGAGCATCCATAACTAAAGCAAGAAGATAGGGCTTAAAACCGATTCCTGATGCAATCCAACTGAATTAAGAAAATATTTGATCAATGCTCTTTTTATTCGAACACAAGTAAAAACTCTTGTATACATATCTTTAATTACTTAAATATAAGTCATATAAACACTTTTCTTTTCTAGAATTCTCCAAAGAACTTCTCTTAGAAACTTATCGTAAGCTTTTTCTAAATGATAAAAATTATATGTAAATCCTCCTGACACTCACTACACTTCTACATCAAACTTCTCAATAAATGTATTGCTTTCATAATAGACTTGCTCGGCGTAAATCCAAGTTGATTATAAAAAATGTGTATCACATTTTAACACATGTTCAATTCCTTCCATAGTTTTAATGTATGAAACATTAACTTAAGTCCTCTATAACTTGCACACTATTGTACATCTCATTTATTCTTAAAAACAGGGACCAAAATACACTTACTCTACTCCACATGCATATTTTTAGTTTTTAAAATAATATTAAAGAGTTTAACAAGCCAAGAAACTCTAAAATCTCCTAAATATTTCCACACTTGTGAATTGGAATATCATCGAATCTTACTTATTTTTTACCCTTGATTTTCTTTAAAGCCTACATAACTTTCTTGTACGAATGTGATGGTAAAAATAAATAGTTTTATTTTTGTTAACGATATTAGAATAATTAAGGTCGATCATATTTTCAAAATCTTCATTGAAAATTTTATCAAAATATCTCACCCGCTTATGACCTATGTTAAGTATCTATCTCTAAGAAAAGCATTTCTTTTTATTTTCATCTTTAATACACTCCTTCAATTAAATCTTTATTTTTATTTTCTCTTTGTTTAGCTAATTTATACATATATTTTTCACCATCTTTAGTGCATGATCTATTATAAAGATCACTAAAGTAAAATTCTTATTGTTACAAATTGTTCTATTAAACTCCCTACAAGCCACCTTACATTTTTCTCAACTCTAAGTTTTTACATTTAAACCAACTTTTA